TACCCTTACAGCATGGTGAAGCGATGCAAAATATACCACAAACTGGTGTGAAAGCGGGAAAAACAGAAAGATTGACACGTTTCAAATAGAGTGAAAGCGCCTTTGGCAATTCAGAGGCTGAGCATCGTTTCTGAGTACACGAAGCGAATGAAGCCTACAGATGATGGCGTCGAGGTATAGTGCACTGATTTCTGCCCCATCGACAAAAGACCCAAGGTCTCATCAACAGTTCAGATGCGGTCTCGATGCAGGGACGCGAGGGTGCAAGCCATGACAGCATCATACCTCGACTAACTCATATTGGGCCCATTCTGGAGTGAAAAAATCGCCTCTCCAACCAGACTCAATGAATGTTTGGACATCGTTATTATTGTATTCGCTCCGAGCTATAAAAGGTTTATTTTTTTAATCAAAGGTATGAAGATCAAATGGCCTAACAGGGTCGCCCTAGCAACAAGAGCAAGTAGCGTAAACGAGGTCAGACCATTTCTTAAAAAAAGAAATGTCTACTGACGCGGAAAGCTAACTCAGAACTGCATCCTCTGTCGGGCTAATCATGACAACATCGAGCCTCAGACGGCTGATTTGGCGCACATTGCCAGACGATCTGCTTATTTGGAAGTTGGCATCATTAGCGTCGAAGTACAACTCGAAACAAATTTTTAGACATCAGACCAAAGAGGGTGTGGCAAAATTAACACATTTTGTTAAGAATAGGTACTTTTGATCGCATCCTCTCATCTCTCACCTGCAAACGTATTGCCAGATCTGACCATACCCCAGCCAATAAAGACAGAGAAAAGTAACACCAAAATAGAAGAGGAATAATAATTGATTCAGTCCAGGTCATTTAGGATGAATCAAGGAAAGATAATTGAGAATTTCCCACAATCAGAATGTCATTAGACTTAACTTAGTTTTCATAGGGATAACTTTTGGGGCATATATTGGAAGAAAAAACGGGTTATAATGAATCTCCTGAGGAAACATTGCTGTAGAGACTTTCATTTGGTACGAAAGTGCATGATGAAGGGATTCGTAGATCGATCTCCCCAGAAGAAGACGGCTGATCCACGCTGTACTGGAGCTGTTTGACTTTAATCCGACGTTCATGTTGGAAGAGTCTGCGAGACATCCTCATGTATTTCGTAAATAGAGACTTTTGCAAGAATGAGTGCCAGCTGT